AATATCTGTCTCATCTGGCAAGGAAACTTAGAGGTTGTCTTTAGAAAAGTTTGTTGGGTTGGCTTAAAAGAGTTGATATGGAAAGAGACATTTGTCAACTGTGCCTATACTATATAGGTAGTAAGAAATTGTAGTGAAGACAAGAGTTGCATCTCTCAAAGCCCTGAGTGGTGCACCCTAACATCTGTAATATTAGAAAAGACCATTCAAAGATACTGATAGAATAGTTACCTTCCTCAAAGAAATACACCCAGAGAGAGATGAGACTAGAATGGGCAATGAATGGATATGTTACATCCTAATACGTTTATATTGTATGGTTTCAGTGTGTTTCTTAATAAGTATAGGGGGATGCAGACAAAGTATTAACATAATATGTGGAATATCCCCAATAAAAAAACACCTTTACCTTTTTTCTTTAACATTACAGTAGTGTTGTACTGATAAATAAGCATGGTGAAGGATTTCATAATGGCATTCAATAATCTGATCTTGGTTGCTGTATCCCCAATAAAAAAACACCTAGTCCATACTGAACACTATTCAGTGTTTCACATCTGCTTCTGTTCCCGCATCTGTATCCATGATGCTACCTACCAAAATAGTTGAATTATTCCACAAATTTTAAGGCCTGTCCTCCTAATGTTATCAGGATGCTGTCTTGAACATTGCTGAATTGCATCAGCTTGGTCCTATCTTCATTAATTTTTAAGCCCATTTTACTTGCCTGTGCCCCAAGTGCCAGCATCATGTCTTTCAGCTGTGTCTTAGTGTTTGCAAGTAAAGCAATGATATCAGTGAAATCTATATAAATCTATTTATTCCACAGAATGCCAAAATTCAAATTATTCATTGCCCTTCTCATGGTATAGTCCATGGTAAAAAAAAAAAATGGGGATAGAACACAGTCCTGCCATACACCAGTATTAATCGTAAAGAAGTTGGTACAGCCATTTTCAGTTTTTACATAGCACCTAGTGTTGAAAATGTTTCTAAAGATGATAACATACCTCTTAGGAATACCATACCATGTAGCATGTTCCATAATGATTCTCTATTGACAGAATCAAATGGGTTTTTTTAATCAATAAAGTAAATGATTTTGATACTCCTTACTCTATTCAGTGGTATTTCATAGTAGAAAATCTGTTCACTGCATGAGCGACCTTGTCTCAGAAGAAATATTGCATAATAAATAATACAGATGATACAAGAATGGCAAATATATGTATCTTGGGTGTAGAATAAGGATGAAGGTTCATTCTCCAAGCTTGTGGATTGGTTTCCAAATGCTTCATTATCAGGCTAGTAATGAAACATTCGTAAACCAACCCACAAGCTCAGAGAACAAACCTTCACCCCTAATACAGTTAATGGTTATGTGTGTAGATAAATAAAGATGGTTGGAAAAATAAAGATCCAATTCAAACAATAAATGACCTACAGAAGGCTTAACATATGAGCCATACTATATTTACTACCCATCACTGAATTTTGATGAAAGGGTGTGATCCATCTTTGTTTCTTGCCAAGTACTGTAAAATTCACTCATGAACTGTACCTAATCTGATATCCTCTGGATCACCAAGCCATTACTGATATGGTATAACATAATGGTTCAAAGCTAGTGTGGTGTCAGGAACATCCATTATTCCCCAACTTAATCTAAATGCTTCCCTAAATTTGGTTCAAGTGATTCTTTTAAATCTCAAGAGTACAGTCTATTGATGCCTTTCATACGAAAAGCCATTTGAGCATGTTTAGAATTTTGGTTAAATGAGAAGGTAGCATCCATCCTTTCACCAGAATAGGGTTGGCTGCAACCCATTGTACCATGTAATTTCTTGTTTTCTCTGCACTGTTCTGAACTCTTTAGCAAATGGTATTTAAAAGGTGCTGAGCTCATTTCTCCTCTTTGCAGTACACATCTGACATGAAGTAATCATGAAACATTCATTATATTCAACTACATTGCTCATCTGGAGGGAATGGGGCCTTTTGCATTTTTAATTTCCTCCCCATTAAGATCTCATGAAAGAATGATCCCTTGCTCACGGTTCTTTAATTAGTTCCTTTTATACATCTCCAGTTGGCCTGCTCCAATTCATCTAGGAGAATATTGGAAACAATCCTCTATATTGCTGCATGTTGAGAATATGCAACCAGAACAAAGGGGAAGAGGTGAGAAAGAAAGGACAAAATATTTGCAACTTGCCTCTCTTTGTACAGGGATTCTAGTTTGGGATCATGAGCAAAGTTACAGAAGTCTTTGCTGCCATCTATTCATCATCCAAATTTTTGCAGCCCTATTTTTAGAAAACTAGTATCATTATTTAGAATTGAATAGCAGAAAAAAAATCACAACTACTACTTAATTTGGAGCATAGGTAAACTGTGCAATTTTCCTAGTGAAAATATAGTGATGGTTTTGGGTAACTTTAAAGGAGGATTAGAAAATTTGTAGAGATTAAAACTGTTCATGAATATTACTCATAATTGGCTATATATTAACTCACCCCATTCTTAAGAGGTCCTTAAAGGAGTCGTGCGTAAGCGCACCGTGTGACCACTGTCCCTGTCTTACTGTCCCCATTTATCTATATTGACTTCTTTTGTTTATGTTTATGCTCATACCTATACTTGTTATCTCATACATGTTTGACAAACAAATAAATAAAATAAAATAAAAAATAAATAAGATATAAAGGTCATGAACTGCTCAGTATCAGTTGCAGGGAACCAGAAAGGTAATATTGCCCTTAATTTCTCCTTGTGATTTCCTGGTTGACCATTGTCAGAACAGAATGGGACAACTCAATGCAGCCAACTTGTCATGGCCACCTCACCGCCACCACCTCACCACCACCAAGTCACCTCTACCAACTCACAGCCACCAAGTTGCCACAGGACAACTCCACATGGCCAACTCGCCACAGAGACAACTTGCCATGGGCAGCCAGAGGGAGAATCTAGCAGGTGGGCAAGTTAGTGTGTAGGCAGAGTGCAGTGCAGCAGGACCTTCTCATTTTCACAGCATCCACCACTGCCAGAAGGCCAAAGAGACTGGGGACAGTGGTTGCAATGGCAGTGGATGGGTGGTAGGGAGGTGGCAAAGCCAAATGTGTCCCTTTTCACAACCCACGCTGCTGCCATCACCATGTGCTGAGCTCCAGGCTGAAGAGGATGGCAGTGGTGGCTGGATCGGAAGGGAAGGAGGCAGCAGCCAGAATGTCCCATTTTCATACTCACTGATGTTGCTGCAACAAGCTCTAAACCGAAGAGGCCAGGGGACACCAGCAGCAGTGTGTAAAAATGGGATGCCCCTGGCCACCACCACCTTCCTACTGCCCATTGATGCTGCTACCATCTCCAGCCGCTTTGGCTTGAAACTCGGTATGGTAGCATTGGCAGAGTTTATGAAAATGGGAAGGCTGCCATTGCTACTCTGTGATCTGCCCACCCACTCACTTATCACCCACCTGGCTCTCCCTCTCATTGCTCGTGGAGAGTTCTCCTCATGGAGAATTGGCTGTGTAGAGTTGTCCTGCGGTGAACTGGTGGTAGGAAGCTAGCTGCGCCAAGCTGTCCATGGTGAGTTATCCTAGAGCCTGTCAGAAAAGAAGGCTGGACTAGACCAAGTTTGAATAAGGCCAATTTATGGTTTTTTATAAATGATAAATGTTTTATGATGTTCAAATGCCACAGTCAGCAATCAATAGGCCAAAGAACTGAAAATGTTTGTGGAGACTATATGTCCATGAAGTTATGAGGAATCAAACTCAATGCAAAGGATTATTATACTATGGAAAGGAATTTTCCAACTTCATTATGCCTACACAGACACTTAAAAATCTAGAGAGGTTCTGGATGTTTCCAATTTTTAAGGTTCCTATCTGTAACTCAAAAATGGTATCAGAAGAACAATGAAGACCTAATTTCAATATTTGAAAAAAAAATTCAGTGGGCTGAGGTCTAAAATTGAGCCTTTCTTTGAAGTCCAGTCTGGATGACCATCTCCCCAAAGTTCCTTTTAACTGCCTCTATTGAGAAAGGAGCACTGAAATTGAGTGTAGTTTTCCAGGATTTAGAAGGACCTTTGGCAACTGAAACTGAAGGGGGAAAAATAATACAATGAATTAAAGTGACATTAAGTTGCCTTTGCACTCCCATCTAATATCAATGTCATTTCAGGGTTTGCTTTCTGATGTAACTAACTCTACAAATTAAACCCATGTGCTTATTGATGAAAGCTGAGATCCATCTACTCAACATTACATTTTAAACATGTGATCAATTAATCCCAAGCCCTTCCCAGACTAGTCCTGACAACATTTATAGCACCTTTGTTTTCATAGACACTAAATCTCCTAGCCACTCATTTAGAAATGTGAAATTTATTGTTCACCTGATTCTATTTTTGTCTTCCAGCAAAAACAAAGGAACCAGTAAGAAGCAGTTTGAAAACCAACTTCTGTGTTTATGTTCCACCAGTTCAAGGACAGTTAATCATCAGAAGGGCAGAAATTAAGAGCCTCCAAAGGGGACAACTCCCCCGCTCTCCTTCTTCCATGTACCATGTTTTGCTTTTCTGATACACATGGAATTTCTTTTCCTTTTTTTTTTTTTTTTTGGTGATGATGCAAGGGAAGTCGGGAAAACAAAGTTCACCCTTCAAAAAGTAAATGGTCCTTTTTAATGGGCCTGTTGATGCTCTGATCACTATCTTGCTTATGTAGATCCTGCCTATCAGAGAGGCATACAGTAAACAAAGACAAGTGAGTAGGTGGGGGAACATTTTACCACTGTTTACACCAAATAAGAATATCCTTGGGGAGGCATCACCTGGGAAGGAGGCTCAGGTTCAATAAATTAGGCACAGAAGCAGAGCTTTGCACAGATCCTTCAAGCAAGGATGAGAGCTGATACAGATTGGGCTGAAGTATATCAGCCCCACTGAGGGGACTTAACGAATTCCAGTTTTGGAAAAAACAAGTTCCAAGATGGATATCCTAAAAGACAGCAACTTGACCATCGCAGAAGGCAAAGAAGGTACTTTTTTAATGGTCATTTTCGAGGAGCAAATATTAAAGCAAACAGAATAAAGTGAGGAAGAGAGGGGAAGCAAGAGGTCCGTCCAGAACGTACATGTCTGTACCGATTTGTCAACAAGTGGCTTGAAAGCCTGACTGGCAGTCTATTCACTTAGAATGAGCTATTGCATGGCAAGAAATTAAAGGAAATGACACATTGGTTTCTGCTTTCTTCAGGGTTCCGCCCCATTCCCACTGGCTGAGGGAAACTCAGGGTTTATCTATTTTTTAAGAGCTTCTGGGGCAACAGCTGTACCTTTGTTATATCTGCCTAGATGCTAGGAAGCTGTAGGCAAGATATGACATGCCTCTAAATGTTATGCCAAGAATGGAGCACTGCAGAACATTTTGCATTTTTAGAAAAGGCTGTGACTTGAAGGACAATGAAAAATACACACATTTGTATGCTTGCAGTGTATTTATCAATGCTTCCTCTTGTCTACAAATAAAGCCTTAACAATGTGTGGAAGAGCCCCAATCATAAGAGCCATGATTACACAGTGGCTAAAATGCAGTATTGCAGGCTAATTCGCCTGACCACTTTTCACCCTTCCGAGGTGGGTAAAATGAGGACCCAGATTGTTGGGGGCAATATGCTGACTATAAACAGCTAAGAGAGTGGTGTAAAGCACTATGAAGCAATGTATCGGTCTAAGTGCTATTGTTTTATAAAGCAAAAAAAAAAATCAGCTTTTTTTAACCTTATAACATTATACTGACAAATGAGAATTATAAAGCAGGATTTTGGTGTATCCAACCCAGGTGTATCCAACCCATGGGCCATGGGCCACATGCACCCTGGATAGTCAGTAATGTGGTCCCATAAAATTGTAACAAAGCTATAAAAATGAAGTTTGTTACTTATATATATTTATATTACAGATTTTATATGTGGCCCAAAACAATTCCTCTTAACTCAGTGGAGCTCAGGAAAGCCAAAAGATTGGACAAACCTAGTCTAGTCAAATGTTTGAGAAATAATGTTGATGATGGATATGTCTGTAGCTAGTTGGAAGAAGAAAGATGTAACTAATTCAAATAGTGATTGTCATACACTGGGCTTAATATCCTGGGCTACACCACATTCTTTCTCTATCACTGAATTCCGATGAACTGAGCCACACTATTTGTAGCCCAATAATATTTATGCTTTTTAAACTTGCCATAAGCAAAAAAAAAATCATTACTATGTTTGGTGCAGCATGAACAGTAAATCTAATTTTTTTTTTGGGGGGGGGGATATTTATCCCAGTCTTTCCTTACAACTATGATAACTTTTAGAAGTAAAAAAAATGTGTAGTAAATTATCTATAGGTGTCAAAATCAGAATGATACTTGGCATTACATGCTGATATTGTTTTGAATATAACATCCATTAAACTTTCAATGTTTAACCTCAGGCACATCAGTGGGTGAATGGTCAGAGTTAATTCACTATATTGTACAGGCAGTCTTGACTTAAAAGTTCATTTAGTGACTGATCCATGTTACAATGGCACTGAAAAAAGTTACTTATGACTTTTTTCACACTTACAACTGTCGTATCATCCCCATGGTCAAGTGATCAAAATTCATATTATTGGCAATTGACTCGTATTTATGGTGGTTGCAGTGTCCTGAGGTCATGTGATCATCTTTTGTGACCTTCTGCCAAGCAAAGTCAATGGAGAAACCAGATTCACTTAATGACCGTATTACTATCTTAACAACTGTAGTGATTCACTTAACAAGAAAAGTCATAAAATGTGGCAAAACTCACTTAACAATTGTCTCACTTAGCAACATACATTTTGGGTTCAATTGTAGTCAAAAGTTGAGGACTATCTGTATATTGTTTCTAATATTTTTAGAATTTCGTGTGTCTTCTGCCTAAACGTTTATTCACCATTCCTTGTGTTATTATATGGAAGTGGCCCAAGTGGGGTCAAGCTTCAGGAATGTCAGCAGCGGCTTAGCTGGGGCCCATTTTCCTTTACTAGAAACTATTGGTGTTCCTATGAGATAAGGTTATTATATCCAGTCTTTTTGACCAATGAGTTCAACATATATGCAGGCTCAATATAATAGGAAATTTCCCAGGATTAATCTTATCAATCATTGTCAAGATATTCAATCCAGTCTAGGCTTCCCCGCTTTGCCTTCATTCTCCAGAAATCCCAAGCCTATTTAGTATCATGGTGAACTCATAGAAAGCATTCGGCTAATCTCTATTTTCTAAAAGCATTAGTGCTTACAGCAAACTAAAGCAAATAAAGCCTAAAAGCATTAGTGCTTACAGCAAACCCTATGGCAAGCCACATTGTACCAGCAAATCCTGATAGTGTAGCAGGCCAGTAATATAGAATCTGAAGGTTTTTCCCCAAACCTGGGTTGAGTCAAATAGAACAGGAAGAGGCAAGGTGTGGAGCCAGTCTAGTCAACACAAAATGGAATGGAATGGAACAGAATGGAATGGAATAGAATAGAATAGAATAGAATAGAATAGAATAGAATAGAATAGAATAGAATAGAATATTGGCCAAGTGTGATTGGACACACAAGGAATTTGTCTCTGGTGCGTAAGCTCACAGTATACATATAAACAACAAGTAATGAGTCATAGGACATAAATCTTAGTTACAACCATTAATCATAAGTTACAAACAACAATTGAATGCTGCAGATACATTGGAATGGCGTGGGGGGTGGATCTTGTTTTCAAGTGGCAGAGAGGAAGCTCTTATTTTTGTTGTCCTGAGAGAAGTGGGGATCAAACTCAATAGAAGTTTAAGCATGGCGACGCTCAAAATTAACTCACTTTCTCCTTTTCTTCCTTCTAGAGGAGACAGTCTTTTTACTTGATAAATACCAGCCCCTCTCATTCCTTCTCCTCATTTAGTGGGATAAAAGTTATCTCTACCCAATCTTTATTTCTTCTTAACCAATGAAATACAACAATAGCTATAAATTGCTCGTGGTCAGATCTTGGGAGCCATTGCTCTTGTGTAACTCAACTGCTATATCTATATAAAGAAAGCTTTACTTAAAAATTATAAAGATGGAATCTTTTTAGCATTCCCAGGAGATTCAGGACCATGGCCAGTCTTACTGTAAGGGATGATGGAAAGTGAACTTCTACAATGCCCGAAGGTGCACATGTTGGTTATGCTGTGATAAACTAATTAATGTGACTGAGCATTCCGAGAGATTTTATTTTATTTTTTATTTATGAGAGATTTTTATTTATTTATGTGAGATGTTAGACACACGTAGATTATAGGCAATGCCAGAAACTTTCCTTTCCAACATATCTCACAATGTACAAGGTTTGTCAGCCAAATGGGGTCACAAAGAACTTTGGAAAGTAAAGAACTCAGCAATAATTCATTCCTGACCCAGTCTCACTTTCTGGAGTTGATTGCATATTTAGTATAAGTCAGCTAGCCTAACACAGTTAGAATAAACAAATCCAATACACAGAAGTGCAGAAATTGCGGAATGTAATGTTCTTAGCACAAATGAATAAATAGCAGTTCTTATCCCATTTCCAAGAAAACTGCAGGGACTTATTCAGGCAATTACCAGGAGCCAGTGCACACTCAAAAGTACGTACACACTTACCCTGGTAGCCTACATTTTTAAAGCGGTCACAGCTTTCTAACAATGGCCCAGGTTGTCCTCCAGGGGGAGCACAATGATAACTAAGGAGCTGAACATACCATATCATTATTTTCTTTAATGCAAGGATGTTTGCTTTAGTCTTTCAAAAGGTTGGGTGATCAAATAAATGCATGTTATGATGATCTAAGGCTACGGTGGTTTTTTTCCCTGGCACAGTTCACACACACACACACACAACCATACCAAAGCTGATGACATCCTCTCCAATCTGCTTTGTTCTAGGATTCTGGATAAGATATTTTCCTATCCTGTGTAGCAGCGGTTTGTTCTTAAGAACTTCTACATAGATACTCAATACCCCAAGCCTCTGCTTCCTTGCTCTTTTAGCTTCCTTGCCCTCCTCCGTTGCTTTTCTAAGTCCGTTGCTTTCCATTTCTTGGAGCAGAGTTTAGTTCTTTTTTCCTCCCCTGCATGAGTGGTATTGGCACTGAAGATCAGGATTAATCAAGTTCAGAAACTGTTTCCCCAGAATTTTTAATAATAACTGCACATTCGTCTTGCAAACGCTTAGCATTCTGTTAACACATATTATAACACTCTTGCATTATTAAGTTGTGCTGCAGAGAAACCACAGAAATAGAAGGCATTCATGGATGTCAGCTGCTCCGGCTGAGTGTTGAAAATGAAGAGTAGCAAGTAAGAATCAAATGTAAAAATCATCTGGAAGACTCAGATGATTATCTTGTAATGATTGCTTTAATTATAAATATCAAATATGTGCATTCTAGTCCTCTACACTGCAGGAAGTTTCGCTTTCAACCAAGTCATAGGTTTTTCTTCTTCTTCTTTCTTTCCATTATTCTAATCTGATACTCTCCTTCTCCACCAGCTGGACAGTGTTATTTTCATGAAAGCTGATGGCTATTACTTTACAGGATTCAAAATAGATTCCCAGCTATCAGGAACATTGGCAGCAGTTGATACTTGCATACAACTTCCATAATAAGTCCATCAACAAGTCATTCACTACTGAGTTATCAATCCTCAGCAAATACTTTTGCACTCTTTACCCCACCCCCCCCCCAAGTTCCCCCCCCCCCCCAGCACTGTGTTTGTATAGCTGACTGTACTGGCATTTCTATTTTGGTAATTTTCCTCCTCTGCAGTACAACAGTAATGTAACAATGCTATAAATTGCTAAAGCACAGGTGTTAAACTGAATACTAAACATTTGCATCACTTCATGGGTAGCTTTTATAAAGAACTCTGGGAAAACAGATTTGCACTCTTAGCAAATGCAAAGTTAGAAGACTAAGCACTTGTTTACAACAAAGAATGTCCAGCCAGTTCCAGGGCCTT